GTATCAATCAATGAAGTCACATGCCTCAGTCAATAGCTTAAATGCTAACCAGACCGACATTACCTACAGACTGACATTATGTAATGTCAGTCTGTAGTTCGATCATCAAGCTAACTGTGGAAAAGGAGGTAGGGGAGCAGAAGGAGATTCATCTTACAGTGTATGTAATGTATGCTATACAATTTTTTGCTTCTAAATTCAGACAAGACAGAAGTTGTCGTCTTTGGACCGGAGTCTTTAAAAAAGAAACTGCTTAAATCCCCCCACTTAACCTGGATGCATTAAAATTGACCTGCGGTAATAAAGTAAAAAACCCATGGTGTTATTTTTGACTAGGACATGTCATTTAAAATCCCATATTAAAAAGGTTTTTAGGATTTTTTCTTTTTGTCGCCGGAACATTTTAAAAAGGAAAAAAAAAGAATATCCTATCCAGAAGCCGAGAAAAAACTAAAAAGTCCATGCATTTGTTACTTCAAGGCGTTGACTATTGTAATTCTTTACTATCAGGATGTCCACAAAATGCATTTAATAGCTTCAGCTGATTCAAAATGCTGCAGCAAGAGTTCTGATGAAAATTAAAAAAGGAGATCAATTTTTCTCCATTTTAGCTTCCGTTCATTGGCTCCCTGTTAAATCCAGAATAGAATTTAAAATTCTCCCCTACATTAAAAAACCCTTTTAAGTTTAGCTCCATCATACATCAGAGATCTGATTCTTCCATATGTTCCTAACAGAGCACTTCGTTCTCAGACTGCAGGTTTACTGGTGTTTCCTAGAGTCTCTAGAAGTAGAATGGGGGCGATCCTTTAGTTATCAGGCTCCTTTCCCCTGTGGACCCAATTCCCGGTTTTGTCCGTGAGGCAGACACCCTGTCTACTTTTAAGGCTAGGCCTTAAAAAATTTTTCCTTTTTGATTAAATTTTTATAGTTAGAGTGGCTTAGTTTATCAGGGAGGGACCCCTCCCTCCCTTTGGTTTGGAGTAAGGGGGAAGTCGGTTTAGCCTAAACCGGCTCAGTTATGGTTGAGGTGCAAACACACCCCCTTTCTGCTACCTGTATGATTCCCTTCTCTTTCCAATGGGTTATAAATCAGTCTGACAGAGAGAGGTATCCCAATCCTTGTGGTTTTTTGTATAACAATGACCATCAGTGGGACCTTTTGTGGGGTGCCTTAAAACGACATTTTGAAATAAGTGCTGTTTAACTAAATAATCTGGATAAAACTTTTTGTAGTTTATGCTGCTATAGGCTTAGCTGCTGGAGGACATAATGACCACTTTCACCCTCTTCGCTACATTCTCCACACTACTCTCCCATTTTTGCATTATTTGCTGTTAATTTTCAGCTTTTAACTTTTCTCTCTCTTTCTCTTCCTAGAAGCTACACCTGGCCTGACTCTGTGTCTACCTGTGACACCTTTCTGGAGAGGGGAATCGTCCGAGCTTCTGCTGGCAACAACTTAATGCTCACCCTCTAGCAATGATTCACATGGGCCTGTCTTTCAGTGTTTAACCCTTTCTCTCTCCTAGACATGGCGATTGACTGAGCTTTTACTGTAACTAACTCTATGTGCTCTCTTTCAGACTCTAACCTTGAAAACGGCGCAGATTTATCTGTTCTTTCTTTCTAGTTGAAACGACATTTACTTTTCCCCTTCCCATAGAAAGGACTCCTGGATCAGTGCTTCTTTGTTCTCTTTGTGTCTCTGCTCTGTTCTCTCAAACCCCCATCGGTCGTGCAGTTGACCGCTCACACTGAGCCTGGTTCTGCTGGGGGTTTTTCCTGTTAAAAGGGAGTTTTTCCTCTCCACTGTCGCTACATGCATGCTCAGTATGAGGGATTGCTGCAAAGTCAACGCCAGTGACTGTCCACTGTCTCTACATGCTCATCCGGGAGGAGTGAATGCTGCAAGTCACTTACTGGATGCAATCTGCTGAGTTTCTTTAGACAGAAAAACTTTTTATCCAATTTGAATAAATAACTGAATCTGACTGCACTGTTCAATGGTTAGGACTAATTGGAATGTATGTACCTGACTTTTGTGAAGGGCCTTGAGACAACATGTGTTGTGAATTGGCGCTATATAAATAAAGCTGAATTGAATTGAATTGAATTATAAGTGATTAGTATAGCGTTCAACCTTGCGCTACATCGGCCTATTGTTTTTATTAATCACTTCAGATATTTGTACTCTTATAGTTGTTGTAATTATGAATGAATATATTATTTAATATTTAATGTTAATACTTTGATATTTTATTAAATAATATTTCGGTCTGTTAAGGGTTGTCCTGTGAATACCAACCCAATAAGGCGATGGTATTAGGACAAAATTGAAAGGGATGAGCCAAGCTTTGACATTATTGAACAGCAAAACTCTGCACACACATGGAATGAATTCACACAATTTCTTAAAATACAAGACTTTATTAACAAAAATAAGTCAACTCAAGTCAAACATATTTCAATCAACAAACTGTTTACTATGCTAAAACAATCCAACTAAACTACCAAGCAGAATGAAAGAATAAGGAAGACTAATGGGCTATGTACAATATAAACAAGTTGATTAAAGATGGTTGAAACCATGACCGAAAGAGTGATGCAACATTACCATGCAATGTTTATGTTTGAGAACCAAGGATTATCTTGAAAAATCTGGAAATGAAGTTAAGTTAGTCTTGGAACTAACTTAGGCAATAATTGGCATACCTTTAGACAACCATTCACAATGCAAGATCAGATAAAATATTATTTTAATAAAATAATATTTTAAAGAATGATTTGCTAAATAAAACCAACCTTCTGGATGACCAATTCTCAACGGTCTTTAATTAGCTGCCTTTATTTATTAAAATATTATTTAAAGAAATATTATTTTGAATAAGCAGGCAAGAACGTGTTCTTAGCTGTTAGTAGCTAAAGCTAACAAAAGAAGCTTATAGCTTATCATCAGAATCAAACACATACCTTTAAAATACCATTAATAAAAGGGTTAAAATGCATAAGCGTGGACGGCGCGTTTTGGCCGATCTTCTGTGTTTAAAATCACCCTTTAAACAAAGTTTGTCTCAACTTGAAAAAAAACAAACAAACACAGAACACATAAACTGAGCACATGTGCTGAACAGATAATCTGCTAGCACTAAGATGGCTGAGTTTCAACACAAACAAAACCAAACATCATAAAATGAAAAATGTTTAGATTATTTCACTCTAAACTACTTCTCTCTGCCCAAAACACAACCTTTTACGTGAACCGTGCTGAGGAAAAGTTGTCCGGGCGACGAAGTTGAAGAAAGCATCCACAGTGAACAAAGGGTTAACTCGCTAACCTCCGTAGCTGTGGGGTGGCGCAGCTCATTCTGTCGGCCAGCCAAACTGCATGTTACAGCTGTAACCACGGTGATGCGGTCCCATTGTCCTTCTTTCAGACCGGGAAAGCTGCTCCACTCAGCGTCGTAGAGACAGGGTCTCTGCTGGGAAAACTCTTGAACACAGTTTGCTTCTGTAGACCTCATAGAGAAAAGTCCAGCCACAGTTGTACCTTAATTACCCCCGTTCATGAATGAATACCAGATACACAAACAGCAATTCATTCCTATTTAACTTAGTGCATATGATCGCGTGATCGTATGACACTCTTGGATCCAGTTTGAAGAGTTATGTCTGTTTGCCTGCAAAGAGACATTAGCGCGCTGTTTCCCTCCCTCCAGTTCCGCTGGGGACCTGCGTGGAAGAGGTCAGTTTGTTGCAAAAGCGGGGTTTTATTCGGACAGTGACGTCACGGGAAGTCCGCTGTCACCCCGTTTCTGGCTGTGCTGGAAGTAGGTTAATGCGATGAAAAGTTCCAGAAAAAGTTTGAAAGTTCCAGAAAAATTCTTATCATGTTGTCCCTATGGCTGGGGTACCAACATATTACACTCATTGTAAAACAAAAAAACTACTTGATTCGCTTGCTAAATAGCGTTAACATAATAATATGTATATATTAATAGATAATATTGGATACAAGCAAAGAGTACTAGATAAAGACTAAGTTCTAGACTTAGCAGTGGTAAATTCATTGTTGGTTGCAATCTGCAAAATTGACTCTAGATGTCACCAAGTTCAAAAATAATAATAGGCCGTGAAATGAATATTGCAGCATCATCCATCCATACAAACAATAAAATATTCTCTTCTTGAGCCATAAGGCTTTTAGAGAAAAAAACAAAACGTTCCAAATACCATTACAATAAATGCTCCACAGTTTTACAGTGGGTTCCAATTCCAGCAATTGCATGTTCTCCTTGAACAAAACATGCATGTTAGGTTGATTGGTTGTTTTAAATTGATGTTATGGGTAAGTGTGTGCGTGCATGGTTGTTTGTCTGGTGTGTCTCTGCGTTGTCCTATGATAAAGTGGTTACCTGTCAGTGGTGTACCCTGCATTTCACCCAATGACCACCCAAAAAAGTTAGCCCCACCACAAACTTGCAAGGATTGAGTATACACCGTACACTGTACACTGTATTTCAATAGTATTTAAAATAATATTATACTTTTTTATCAGTTTTCATGTAACTACTACAGATTTTTGTGCATATTACTAGGGTTTTATTTCATAGACCAACATATAGGATCACATGGTTAGGAAGTATAAGGAAAATCCAGTACAAATAACATCCTTCAAAAGTCATCTAATTATTAAATAAAGCCCATATGTGTGTGATTTAGTCAGTCAGTGAGTCATTTTCTACAGCTTATTCTATAGTGGGTCGCAGCAGAACTGGTGCCTATCTCCAGCAGTCTATGGGCGGGAGGCGGGGTACACCCTGGACAGGTCGCCAGTCCATCGCAGGGCAACACACAAACAACCATGCACACACACATTCATTCACCTAAGGGCAATTTAGAGAAACCAATTAGCTAACAGGCATGTCTTTGGACTGTGGGAGGAAGCCAGAGTACCCGGTGAGACATGCATGGGGAGAACATGCAAACTCCATGCTGAAAGACCCCAGGCCGGGAATCGAACCCTGAACCTTCTTGCTGCAAGGTGAAAGGGCTACCAACTACGCCAACATGCAGCCCTGTGATTTAGTCTCTTGTTAGAAATTTTTGTTAACAAACAGTATCATGAAGACAAAGGAACACAGCAGACAGGTCAGAGAGAAAGTTGTGGGAAACTTAAAGCAGGGTTGGTTGATAAACCATCACCTCAAGTTTGGAACAGCTTATTATCACTGTTTAAATTATCATCTAAAAATGGAAAGAGTATTGGACAATCGTAAACCTTCCAAGGCATGGTCGTCCACTTAAACTGACAGGCTGGACAAGAAGAACATTAGAAAGAAAAGCAGCCAAGAGGCCTTTGGTATTTCTGGAAGAGATGCAAAGATCCATGAATATGGTGGGAAAATCGGTTGAGAAGACAGTTATTTGTTATGGACTCCACCACACTGGTTTTTATCAAATAACGACAAGAATAAAGATCTATTTAAAATGTTGCTGTAAGCCCAGTAGGAGGCACATCAAGCATCAAAAATGAATTTCTTCAGCCTACTTGCAAAACGTTACGTGCGACAGAACAATAACACTGACCTAAATTTAATTGAGAATCTGTGGCAAGACTTGAAAATTGATCTTCCCAGATGCTCTGCATCCAATCTGACAGATCTTGAGCTGTTTTGTAATGAAGAAATGGCAAAAACGTTTGTCGCTACATGTGAAAGAAATCCTAGGGTTAAACGTTATTTTGCAAGGAACTTTACAAACTAAACAGTGTGAATGATGTAATGGTAACAGTTACAGTGAAATCTCTAAGAGAATGGTATACTCATAGAGACAGCCAGCACTCCACATTTAGCAGATATAAAATCCAACAACACCAGACAGTAAAAACTGTTTCAGGATTTCAGGAATCTCCCCTTGTGCCAATTTGAGTCTGCTACAGTCATTTACACCATCAACCACATGTGAAGACTTTGTGTAAACAACAGATGCGTGAGTAAAAAGAAGTTAATATCCAACTACTTATAAGCCCTTATCCTGCTTGCCTTTTGTGCTGGATGGGCTTCGGGAATCTACCAGGGATAGGGGAATTCTGAGTGAGTTTGATCTCCAAAGATCCACTCCCACTTTCCTATGCATCTCATTTGACTGGCAAATGCAATGCAAATCCACTGTGCCAGAAAGGTGGATCCATGAAGAATTGGGAGATGCAGTGTACACAGCAGGGTCGGTCGGTTCAAATGTCTGTGTGTTTTAGGGGTAAAGCTCCATCTTGCCCCCCTCAGATCACTCATTGTCCCTGGGATGACGGGAGCTTTTTTTGTGAGGTATCTTCACTAAGAAGATATGTGTGATATTTTGCATACGAGATTGGATAAAACTGTGTGTGAAAGTGTGCAAGAGTGTTCACATTGCATCACAAAAGCATGAGTGAGACCTGTACCTTCCTCTTTCTAGTTGCAAAACAGTGCTCCTTGTCGTTGCCTTTGCTTCCGTGTGTGTGTTTGTCTCGGTGTTGTGCATCTCCCTTCATTCATATGCAGCCCGTAGTAGTAAGCTGCATGGGTAGTGAAAATTGTGGGGAAGTTGTCACAACGAGAGGAAGTGTGTAGTAAAAATATGACAAGATATGTAGAGTATTGTTCACCTCATTGAAGGAGAGTTTCCTCTTTTTTTTCTTCTGTGAATGTGCTGTGGGTGTTTCTGTGTGTACTTCTTCAGAGGACTGGTGCATGATGCACAAACTGGGATACACCTGCCTCTTTACACATAAACAATGCACAAAAATATAACTGGATATTTGCTTGTGCTGTTGTTCCTCCTGAATCAGACTTCCTCAAGAGAAGTTCTCTTGAGTGTTGTTAAAGCATACAATAAAGAAAGAAACAGTCTCCCAGTCAAAGTAAATAATTTTATTATGTTTTATACTTCCTGAACTCCTAACATGACCTTTGCTAATCTTGCTCACTTAAACAGATGAAAAGATAACATACTACACCAGGGATGCTATGAAAAATATTTTAAAATGTGCAAAATGACAGCTGAAACAAACATTACTTGCAAAGATGGGGTTAGGTCACAAGGGCATCCCTTGCGTCATCATTTGTTTTTGTTGTCGAATGCACGTTTTTATGAAAAGCTATAATTATGGGTCGTCGGTATCTCATTAATATCGACCTCTAATATTACTCACTTCCTGCAGTTTTCTGTTGTCCACTGTCTCTGTGTTTGTTAAGAGACTAAAGAGAATCCAAAGACTATTTGGGTCTGTGGAATTGAGGAAGGACATCAGCTGTTCTGTCGCCTCGGCGTGAGTGCTGTGCAGTCTGGTCTTCTCATTCTCTTGCTTCAAATCCCCAGAGGTTTAGACACTCCACCTCTCTGCGCCCTCTGCTACCACGCCAGCACGGTTGATTTTAGACAACGCAACACAAAAATGTATGGCTTTATTTAGAAAAAAAGATAGGGATGTGAGATTTTTCTATCTGTTTGAGGACATGTTTCGCTCTGAAAAGCAGACATTCTAGAAGAACTCAACACTACTTACTTCTGCTTGTGGTTAATTTAAAGTTTTCAAGCTCATTATGTCAGCTATCAAGTTTTACAATAAAAACCAATTAAGGTGGAAAATAAGGATCAAATAATGACTCATATTGGACTTGTGTATCATGACAAAGTGTGTGCACAGATCACGAATGAGTGTGCATTACAAAGAACGCGTGTGCGCGTTTTTGAAAAGGATTCTTCCTGAATTTCTAGCTTGTCATGTTTTATTTTCAGTTTCTTGGAAATAGGAATCACAGAATTGATACAGGGAAGTTAGGATGCTATTTACAACTTTCCTTTCAGACACATTAATGTCAATTTTTACCAGCCAGGAACAAAAATCTCGATTTTATTCATCAACCTCTTATCGAGCTTTTGTAACTTACATACTAACCCCTATGCCAAAACCTCCTTTTGCACATAATAAATTGAGTCTTAAGTATGTTTGTAATCTGGTTGAGCTAAATCATGTGTTAAAGAATTTTCACAGCTTTTAGTTAAGAAATGCAAGGTCTGTAACTCTTTTTTGTTTAGAAAAATACATTTTTTCCCATCATTACACATGTAAACAAATGTATACCTATCATTATGATATTAGAGCACCAAGTATATTTGTTAAAAAACAACACCTTATCTGAGGAGAATGCAGGCTAATATGTTCATACTAAATATATTCTGCCTAGGTAGACAGCAATAATACTTAGGTAGTTAATTTTTGGCCTACATCCAGTTTCCTGTACAGTGGATTGTAAAACATCCTAGCCCCCTAACAGATTTCTTTCTACAAGCTTTTTTGTCTTAAGAGTTGTAGATAAAATGTAATATCAGACAACTTGCGTACAAACAAAAAATATATATATATATAGTCTCCCCCCTTGTTAAATAATAAAATTACTATGATTGCAATTTTTTTTCTCATTTTTACCCACACCATTAAACTGCCGGACCCATAGAATCAAGAACACACATAACTTGAACCTGTTTGACAACATGAAGTAGGCTTACAAATAGCAACACATTATGACATATGTAAAGAAAACCAAGAGGAGACAACCTGTCAGTCTGGAAAGGGTTAAAAAGCCATTTCTACGACTTTGTGACTCCAGTGAACCACAGTAAGAGCCATTATCCATGAATGGATAGAACATGGAACCCTTTCCCAAGAGTGGTCGACCTGCAAAAACTTCTCAAAGAATGTATTAAAAACGACACCTAGTAGGTCCAGAACCCAGAACAATATCTATCGCCCTGCAGGCCTAGCTATTTAAGGTCAGTGTTCAGGATTGGACAACAAGAAACAGTTGCAAGCATGGGAGATGAAAAACCAAGGCAGAGGAAAAAGAAAACAGCCCTGTTTCATGACTTTTGTAAAACTATTCTGTGGTGACAAAAGTGGAACTTTTTGAAAGATGTGCCTTGTTACATTTGGTGTAAACCTAGCACAGCATTTTAGAAAAAAACATCATATTGACAGTCAAACATGATAGTGATAGTGTAATGCCCTGGTGCTGCTTTGCTTCTTCACGATCCAAATAGCTTGCTGTAACTGATTGAACCATGAGTGAGCAGAAAATCCTGAAGGTGAATGTTGTGATCCCTATGCTCAAGCACACTTGGATTATGCAGCAGGGAAATGCATCAAAACACACCCGTAGTCCACTTCTGAATGGCAAAAAAAAATCTCACAATTCAGGTTTTAGAGTGGCCTAGTCAAACTCTGGACATATATTCAATTGAAATGCTGAGGCATGACCTTAAACAGGCCGTTCAGTCTCGAAAACCGTGAATTAAAACAATTCTGCAAAGGGTCGGCGAAAAACCATAAAGCGACATAGTGGAATTTCAAAACATCCGTGTTCATATTGGAGCTGTAGAAAATTCTTTCCTTTCCGCCTACTATTTCCTTCCCCCGCCTTCTTGAAGAGGATTCTCCTTATTGAAAATCATGTGACTCCTTGTCATTAATCTGACAAGTGGGGACTGTCATTGTATACATGCACATATGTGAAGTGTCTTCCCATCATGAATGTATATTATTTTTTTTAAATAGTGCCTAAAAAGAAATCAAGGATTAATACAAATAATGATGGGTATGATTTAAAATGCGTTGATCATGAAATGTTTTTTGTGCAAACTGAACTAAAATTCCTAAATGTGAGAGGAAATATAAGAAAAAAATGCAATATAGAATACTATTCAAAGTTGGCAAAAATGCAAGTTAATAAAACAAAAGTCAAAGTGAAATACAGCCTCAGTGTTGTGTGCACAACCAAAACTTCTGGATCCGGCTGAGTGAGCACAATCGAGAGTTTCCCAACTCTACTGCGAGTCCTGACACGATGCCGGTCGTGACGGCGAGTCCTGGATATGATCATGGAGCTAGGAGCGAGACTGGACCCAGAAAAACGGGATTCCTCTCTCATTGCTTGCTCACGGAGCAGCATACCTCTCCCAGAGTTTCCCACGAGAAAAACCCCAGGCGTTTTTCGGTCCAGGTAGAAGGCGGACAAAAAAGAACTTAGCAAGGTGATAG